ACTTGGAAGAGTTTTATGCGAATGCAACGCTCATAGACTTGCCTTTTAAAAACGAAAACAACTTTCAACGTTGAAAAGATATCAACTAAGTTGTAGATTAGAGGGTTGTATTTTTATAATGATTGTTGTAATTTTGAAATATATTTAATGATAGTTAGGTAATTCTAAGTAAAAAAAAAGTGGATTAATTTTTTATGTGTTCTTCCAAATCATATTATTTTACTCTACAAATCAGACAAGTAAAAAGGTATCAATTTTGTCGCATTAAAGAGTCCATTAAGTTACATTTTATAAAGTTGGACAATACATTTAAGGCTCCGTTATTTTATAAAGAATATTTGATATTTTTATATTTGCGTTTTCTTGGTCAATCTTATCAAATATGCTTTTATTGGATTCCGATTCCATGATATTATATTTTTTACAATGTTACAATTTTATTTTTCTTAAAGTGTTTGTAAACTAAGGTGAGGGTTTTTTTTTCTTGCAATTAAATGGAAAATTTCCTTCTATTTTTTTTCTCAGAGTCTTTACAAATAAAATCATTTATCATCTATCATCTACTAAATAAATAAAGATAATTTTGTCAAAGGTCAATCTCTAATAAGTTTTGATATTTGTTGTTTTTTGATATTTTTTTAATAAATAATATTCACATGTTAATTTATGGTTTTTTTAATTTTTAAAATTAAAAAGCCACATAATATTTATATTTATATATGTAAACTATCAAATATAGTAAATACTATAATAAATTATAGTTAATATGTTTTTTATTTTAAAATTTAATTTCTTATTTCAAAATTTTATTTAAAAAATACTTATTATGTACATTTTAATATTTTAGTTTTTTTGATCAACCCGTGTAATACACGAGTTTTAAACCTATTATTTAATAATTTTTTTTTTCATGCATGAAGAGGTGTTTATAATAATTTATTCTTGTTGTATGTCGAGTCTTTTATGATGCTTTCTTTAAGGCCGGAGGGAGTGGTCTTGCTAGGGACTTGCCTCCTGCTCGTTAAGGTCGCCAAAACCCATTCCCTTTAAAGTCCTAAAGAAGTCGCCAAAAATATCTTGCTAGCCATGTAGCAAGAGGAAAGAGAGAAACAAGAGAAGTGAAATGGATTTGATTGGCTTGCTTTTTTTTTTTCTATTCTGTTTTTTTTTCTTTAAAAAAAAAATTAAAATAACACAAATATTTGATGTTACCATTCCCTACCTTTAATAAATTGAATGCTACCACTCTCTTCATCCTAGGCGACTTTAAAAAATCCTATAACACAACATGCTAAACATGTTAGCACTCCCTCCAGCCTAAGCCTAATAGATGCAAAAGTAAAAGGATTAAAGAGTGTGCATACACAAAAAAGTTTGACCCTATGTTTTTGCAACAATACGCCGGAAACATCGTGTTATAAGTGAAAAACAAAAGAAGGATTTACCCAAGGTTCTAAATAACGTAAGGCGTGACTTGGCGACAATGTCAAACCTCAAGCTTTTTCGAGCCTTAGCGAGCCACGTCGTTTGTAAGGCGTGGCTTAAGATGACAATTTTATATATAATTAATATTTTTATATGTATTTTCAACTATTATTCTATTTTATACACATATATGAGTTAAGGCGGCATTTTAGTAAAGCTTGACGGCAGACACAAGCCTTGAAGCCACTTCAACTAGACTACGGGTTGTTATTCTAGTAGATATAACTCGGAAGCCGCGCAAACTAGATCACTCTAGACCCTAGTCCTAAGAAGTTGCTGGCTTTTCATCAGCCATTGCGCGCTAGCCTTTTCCCTTACTAGTAAGGGGCTGCTAGTTGTAGCGCACATTGTACTAGTGAATAGGAAAAGCAAATTGAGATTACTAATGACGGATGGAGGTTGAGGATAGAACATGTTCGGTCCCTCGCCCTTATCTCCTTTGTCGGAGTCTTTAAATGATGAGAATCCTATCAAGAAAGAAGAGGTATAAGCATCGCCTCTTGATCCAATCCGTCCTGAACACCAACCCGATCTAGCATTCAAAATACGCTAAGAGCTTTAAGCCAACATGCATACTAACTCGCTAGCCAGCAAGCCAACAAACCCCCTTACTCACGTCTTCATCGACGGCAGAGTATATGTGGCAAAGAAAGGCGTATCGCGGTCCTTCATGACGCAAGAGTTGGATTAGACTTTGGACTTGATCAAACTCTAGCTCACCTGGAAAGTCATTTATTTTATTATTGGCCCAGGATAGAAACAAATGTCCAACGGTGATGGGTTGTGTGTGCTCTATGCAGCACGTCCAACCGGAAGTTGGGGCTTTATCAGCCCAATACCTTCCTGTCCATGGGAAAAGCATAACCATAGATTTCGTAGGACGATTGCCCTATCTCTTAAATTAAAGGGGGAATAACTACGTTTTTGTCGTATTCGACCTTTCGGATTCAGTAAGATGGCCATTTTGAACCAGGCTCCTAACCATTCTCTTTCCAGCCTTTGTGATTTCATATACTATTTCCATATGCCATATCTCTTATTCAATCTTGCTATACATCCAAGCTCGGTAGTTGGAAGCAGAACTAAGACTAGATATGACTGAAGGAAAAGGGAGATATGTGTGATCAGAGGGCACGGTTAAATAGGTAAGCGAAGGATCTCTCTCTCTCTCTCTCTCTCTCTGTGTGGTCTTGTGTGAACTCCTTTCCGCCCATTATTGATCTTCACTCTAAGTGAGCAGGTCAAAGCAGTTGAGATGATAGCAATAGTAAGTAGGGAAGCAGAAGCAAAAGGCATTCAAAGAACTTTTGTGTAATAAAGCTTCTTGGTCTCATTTCATTGGTCTCTAAGGCAAAGTCTCGCTTAATCGTTCATCGATATTTTTCTGTAAGGCCTCGGGCCCCATGAATTCTGATTTCTGTTTTTGTTTGTATTAAAGTGTTGGTAGCTTCTAGCCTTGAGGTGGAAAGTCTCCAGCCTCATACATCTTCCTTGGTCCCTGCTCATTGAACGAGGAACGAAGGACTTTTGATGCTGTCCCAAAGCCGGCTTGGAGGGATCCCGATATTGATATGCTCTGCCAGAATATACAAATAAAATATGGATCGGATCATGGAACGGATACACTTGTACCGCACCATGGCGGAGCCATGGTGAGCTTTTTAGATCCTTGATTTTACCCAAGTAAAATCTAGGGTTTGCTTCCCTTTCATTCACCCCAACAACTTTCTCTCTTTTTCCTGTTTCTACCACTTCTCTAGCCACCACATCAACGCTACTTCGACTCAATCTCTGCTACTATTTTAGCCTGCTGGCCCCCTACTACACTCACCATTGCCACCGTCTTGCAATCTTCGCCTCCATTCTTGGCCCACGACTACTGTCGCTTGCTCCCTGCTCTCCTACACTTTTTCAGTTTTCACAATCTCATCTTCCCTTCACCGCGAGCCGCCCCTCGGAACCATTACCTGTTGCTGATCCCAACTAGCCTCCTCCTTCGCCCCCTTTCCATCCTTTTTCCGATGCCGTACTATTTCTTCTCCAGCGTTCCCACCTTGAAAAATATCATGTCTTTCCCCCATTCATCGCATCCTAGGTCGCAGCCCTCACATTTCTGTTTCATTTATGCATACAAAACCCACATTTTGTTGCTAGTTATGATGTGGTATTGCCCCTTCCACTCTTCTTACAATCTAGATATAGTTTTTAGACAATTTTTTTCAATTCCAAGTTATAATGAACTTAATGGTATTGTTGATATGTAGACTCGAGATCATGACGTATACAAGCTATCCAATCAGGACGGATTTGCGGATGCACATCATGATTCATGAGGCTTGTAACAGGGGAGTTTTTATTGTTATTGTATCTTCTTTGTAGTTCTTTTTATTTGTGTGCCTTATGATCGTAGTAGTTTGTAAATTTGATTGTGGTTATTGTTCTTATGACTCGTTTGTGGGAGTCTTCTAACTAAATCCCTTACACCCAATTTTGGAGTTCAATTTCACAAAGAAAAAAAAAGAAATGGATACAAGTGAAAATAAAGTAAATGAAATTGATATTCAAATGAGGTAAATGGAAATCTCACTATCTCTCATAATTTTCCTTTCAATTTGGAAAGATTTAGAAAGAAAATAACAAAATGTTTAATTTCCTTTCATTCTTCTCCTAACTCGTGAACACAAAATACATATTATTTTCCCCCCTTTCGCTTCTTTTCTCCATTACTTTCTTTCCCTTTCTTTTCTTTTCTTTGCTAAATGCTCGGGAACTATGCCTTTGTTTTTACGGCACTCCATTAAACTCTGCTTGTATAAGTGCATACTCTTTCTTACGAGAGCCCACATAGAAATCACAATTCTTCAACAGTTATAGAAAGTATAGATATGAGTCATCAAACTAACCTTATATAGTAACCCACTTAGGCATAATAGACGAATTATGAAGTTAAAATGTCCATATGTGAATGCTCAAGCGCATGGCGTTAAGTGTCTTTACAAGGTGTAAAGACGTATCTCTACGACTCTACCACAAGACTTTCCTTCTGCACTATTTCAGGTTATCCATCTGATGTAACATGTATCTATTTATGAGAATCCTCAGTTCGTTGTTTTATCTTAGGGATATTTGCCTATGGAATTTGCTACATACTACTTCTATAACAAATTAGCCATTAGTCATGAGCATGGTTTTAAATCTATCCCGAACCGAACCGGAATCGAAGTAACTGGAACAGTTGAAACAAAAATGAAGAACCGAAACCAGACGACTATGGATTAAACCTATTTTGGTGTTTGTTTTTTGTTTCAAGCTCATATTTCTTAATATGTCATGCATAGAAGCGATGTCGAGTATTTGAAAACATTTTTTACTGTATTACCTGTTGCTTTATCTTGATCGATTATTATTGCGTATTGGTACTTGTTAAACACGCACTTTAAAAATTGTTCAAATAACAATTGGAAAGTTTCTTCCTTTTCATTTTCCAGCAATGCACCACCAAAAAGTATGACTAATCATTGATAGTTCACTCCAACGAATGGAAAAAATGACATCTTAAATTTGTTCGTCTTGTACGTAACATCAAATACATCTCTAAATTTAGCATATGCATTCCCTGCTTTTCCATCAGTCCAAAAAACATTTCGAGGATACTTATCTGCAAATAAATCCACAAAAAAAATACCACAAATAAATCCACAACAAAATACTGATTAACATCAACTAATGATTTATCTTGGAAATGTTTAATAAGCCCATAAAACTCTTTATCTTTATGTTGTTTTTGTTCCTTAGATAAGATATCCACACATTGTTTTGAAGTAGCATCAGTTTTAATAGGGAGTTTCCATGGCATTTACAACCTTTTTGATTTGAGAAGGCTTTAAACCTAATTGACTAAGTTCCACCAAAATAGATTTACACGACAATGAGCGGTGAAACTATCCACGGAAGCGATGTTTCATTACTTTTGTTGGTGTAATACTCGAATCATGATTACGAGTATCGTTAAACACATCCACAAGCCATTTCCTATATTTCCTTTTTGAAATTCGAAGCATTGCTCTATATCCGGCCCTTAATTCTCTACGTCACTTCTTTGCATTTCCATATAAACTATTAACATTCAATCTTTTGAACCATTGTTTGTTGCAAACATACATCTTACGGTAAGTATCGTTTGTGGTCTTATTTTTATAGGCCCAATGAATACGTATACCCAACACATGTAAAAAATCATATTCATTATAAAAAGTATATACATATCATGAGGTGTATCAAAAATCTTTCTCATGATACTTTCATCTCCATCACTGCCAAGATTCACATCAGCACCATTTGTTTTTTCACATTCAGATGTTGATTTTTAATAACTATTTGCATAAATATCTTCAACCATATGTGTTTTAATTGCTTTATCTGGTACTTAAATTTCAATAGTCATAATGAATGATCGGTAGCATATATACATACATAAAATGAGGTATTTTAACATTTTTGTAAAGCTATCAAATAGTAATTGTAAAGCTGTCATCAACACTTCGCGTATACCTTCAATAATACCTACGCTTTTAATGAATTTCTATTATTAAGTTAATCTTATGTAACTACAACGGCCAGTATAATTAACTCTTAACTAGTTTGTGGGGTTTTTGGGATAATACATTTACTGCACTTGACACATCTCACATGTATATGTGGTGTTGTTTTTTCTTCAAGTATATACTTTGATTAGGGCATTAGGCATAATTAAACACTTGGTACTTCATTAGCACTTCGAATCCCTTAAAACATATCTATTCTTTTAAGGAATTTCTATTATTAAGTTGATTTTATGCAGCTACAAATGCCAGTATAATCAACTTTTCTAGGAGGCAAAAAAAAAGCTCGTTAAGAGTTGATTATATTGGAATTTGTAGTTGCATAAGATCAACTTGATAATATAAATTTTTTAAAAGCCTAGGTATGATTTAAGGTATACGAAGTGCTAATGGAGTAGCAAATGTTTAATTATGCCTTATCAAATATATATATATATATATATATATATATATATATATATATATATATATATATATATATATATATATTTTAAGAAAAAATTACACCACATATATATGTGGGATGTGTCAAGTGCAATAAATATATTATCCCAAAAGCCCACAAACTAGTTCACAGAAATTAGACTCTATTTGGCAGCTTTACAATTACTATTTTTTAGCTTTACAAAAATGTTAAAATATGTCATTTTATGTACGTATATGTGCTACAAGTCATTCATTATGAATATTAAAATTCTATTACTAGATAAGGCAATTAAAACACATATGGTTGAAGATATTAATGCATTTAGCAAGGCGGTCCTGAGGTTTCAAATGCCTATGATAAGTCGGAAAAAAAGGCCCTTAGGCCCTAACGTTTAACGAATTCAATTATATAAATCTGAAATGTGCATACCTCCTTCCAAGGCTACCTCTGCTAAAACTGAAAGAATGTTTATTTTCTCAACTGTGTAATCTGGTTCTTTTTCCCAAATTGCCCTTGAAACATCAAGCAATGTCCAAGCTAAATCTAGGCCAGATTTGTCTTCTTCATCCTCACCATCACTTCCTTCTTCATCTTCATCTTCATCTTCCACTTAAAAAACACAATGAACATAAATGCAATTGTCATCGATATTTGTATTATTGAAAACATTTTCAAACATCATTGATGTGAATTATGAAGATTTGAAGTACCTTCTTTAGCGTTGCTTTATTCATAGTAGTTTCACTACTTTCAGCAGATTTATTGGATCCTTTTCAGTGGATTCTTACTTGGAAACAAGACCTGAGACTAATTGATCGAATTCCTCTTGAGCCTTGTACAAAAGTGCACATCTATATTTATAATATGATCTCACACATTTAGACCCAAGCTCGACATAATGTGCAACTCTAATACAACAATCTAAAAGAAAGAAATTCCATCATCTTTACCTCAAAATAGACGTGTTCAGTTATATCACACTTGTAACAAAATATAACATAAAAAATTCAACATATATCTTAGATTTTTTTAGTTCAAAAGCAAATTCTTTTGAATGAACAATACTTAGTTAATAGTACTACACCAAATTTGTTAACTATAACTATTTAATTCTCTGACAAACAAAACTACACTTCAAAACATGGTTTGTTTGCTTTCAACAAAGCAGAATACGACATTATTCGCATATATCAACATGAAAATGACTTCAAGATGATTAATTGAATAAAACAAATAAAACAATCTATAGAGTTAGAAACTATAACCTGATTTCTAGGGAACTACTAAAGCAATTACCAACTTCGGCATAGCCTTTTTCTTTGTTAACCGTCGATCCTCTCTCCATCAACTCTTCAGTGTACTTGATTGACTTCTCCCTTTCTCCATCAGACGCCAACCCCGATGTCTCGACAACATTGTTGTTGCTACACGAACAGGTTTTGTCACCGCCCATTGAGTTGGTCTGTAATCGATCCTTTGTCCTCTCTTGAATGATCACTTCTCTGCCTTAGGGTGCACTCCTATTCCTGAATACATTATAAAAAAAGTTGGGCCCCTAAAAATCTTGGGCCCTGTTCACGTGCACAGGTTGCCCCCCCTCATCACCGAGCCTGACATTTAGTTATCTGTAAGAATGTGAAAAACCAAATGGTGCTTATGTGAATCGTGACGGTGATGAAGATGAAAGTATCATGTGAAAGATTTTTGATACACCTCATTATACGTATACGTTTTATAATCAATATGATTTTTTACATGAGTTTAGTATACATATTCATTGGACCTATAAAAATAAGACCACAAACGAGGCTTACCGTAAGATATTTTTTTGCAACAAACAAAGGTTCTATAGATCGAAGACTAATTGTTTATGTGGAAATACAAAGAAACAACATAATGAATTAAGGACCAGATGTGAAACAATGCTTCAAATTTCAAAAGAGAAAGATGAGAAATGGTTTGTGGACGTGTTAAACGATATTTGTAATCATGATTTAATTATTACACCGACAAAAGTAATGAAGCATCGCTCATGAAAAGTTTCACCACTTATTGGCATGTAAATCTTTTATGGTGGAACTTGGTCAATCAAATTTAAAGCCTTCTCAAATCAAGATAAGCTGTAAAAGTAATGAAAATTCCCTATGAAATTGATGTTACTTCAAAGCAATGTGTTGATATCTTATTTAAGGAATGAAGATAATATTAAAGGTAAGGAGTTTTATTGCTTATCAAACATTTCCAAGATAAATCATTAGTTAAATGTTAATCAGTATTTTTTTGTGGATTTATTTGCGGACAGGTCTCTTTGAAATATTTTTTGGGTTGATGGATGATCAAGGGATGCGTATACTAAATTTGGAGATGTTGTATTCGTTGTTATGTACATGGTGAACAAATTTAAGATTTTATTTTCTCTATTTCTTGGAGTGAACCATCATGGTCAATCCATATTTTTTGGTGTAACAACCAAAAATTTCAACAAAATTTAAACTTTTCAAAAACAACCCATTTTAATAATGTTATTACAAAAAGGTTTGCAATACATTTATTATCAGAGTATTCCCAGAACCATGTCATAAACATAAACACGAGGAGCGATACGATCACGCCTTCGCCTTGCCACGGTCTCTTGAAGAACCTGAAAAACATTAAACCACAACTATAAGCCCGAAAGCTTAGTGAGATACCCCCAAAATACCAACCACATATACGCCCTTCCAAGCTACGACCTTCCGGTCCAAATCATAATGTCTTCCGGCCCATAACATAGTGCCTTCCGGCCCATAACATAAATAGCATACAGAACATAACAGAACATAGAACAGCCATGCATATCGGGTCTACTGTGTGACTGGTCCGCCGTATCGGGCCTTCAGTCCACCGGGTCCATCCTCCGAGTCTAGTCATGTCCTTTGAATCTGCAGTGTGGTTGGTTCGCCCGCACTGGGCCGGGCCTTCAACCCACCTGGTCCACTCTCTGAGTCTACAGTATGACTGGTCCGCCCTCGTGGGGCCTACAGCCTATCCGGACCGCTCGTTGGGCCTTCGGAATAACCGGTCCGCCCTGGGTATCTTGGCCTACAGCACAAAGCAGGACCCGCCTCAACTAAGGCTGTAAACGAACTGAACGTTCGGCGAACCGTTCATGAACTGTTCAGCGGGAAGTTCGTTTATGTTCGTTTATTTAATAAATGAACGAACATGAACAAAAATTATCGTTCGTTTAGTTAAATGAACGAACATGAACAATGGTATCGTTCGTTCATTTATGTTCGTGAACGTTCGTTTATGATGTTCGTTTACATTCGTTTTGTTGGATTAGTGTCTAAGTCCATAACTATTTTGGTATGTACTTGACCCGATGGTGCATGGTCCTTTTGGGTTGCCTTCACCAAAGCAACTTGATTGGAGAAATAAATAAAGAGAGAGAGGTTATTATGATTTATTAATATGTTATAAGAATAATATATTAAAGGAGAAATCATATTTGTTTAATTAATATTGGTCAATAATTAATTAGGAATTAATTTTGTGATCAAGTGTAATTAATTAAACTAGAGGGGCTGATTTGTAATTATGTGATAGTTACAAAATAAGGTAAGGATTATCTTAAATATAGGGTGAACAAATTTAAGGAGATAATGCCTTAAAATTCGACTAGGATAAGGGTTTTTAAGATTTATCTTATGGTTACTTGGTGGGCAAGCAACTAGATAAGGATAAGGACTAAAACCCTAATCTTTACACCTATATAAACCCCCTAAGGCTCATGAATTTGTGTAAGCCTTCCCAAGAAGTCCTAAGGACGAATTCCTACCTCTCTCCTCTCTTTTATACCTTCTCCATTTGCTCTTGGTGTTTGTAAGCCATTAGAGGAGTGACACTTGTGACTCTAAGCCTTCCAAAGTCAATTCAAGGAGGAATTAGGATTGTTATTGCTACATAACAATCAAGGTAATATCTTAAACCTAATTATATGTTAATATCGATTTCCATATGCTAGAATTAGGGTTTATAGTCTTGGATTCAAAGCATGTACAATAGAGAAACCTAGATCCAAGCATTAGGGTTTGTATGAGCACATAGGATGTCTTATGACCAAAACCCATCAGTGGTATCAGAGCCTAGGATGGTTTCAATTGTATTGATGCATTTTATATCTGAAAAATTCGATTTTTGGTGTTGTAGAGGCTGGACTCGTCGAGTCCAGGCTTGACTCGACGAGTCAACTCGTCAGATAGTGCTTATCTCGGGATTTCTTGCTGTTTTTGCATATAGATAGTTACCTTATCATGTTAGATCAATATTAATCCGATTATATGATATATTTGACTATATTTTGATCTAATTGAAGATATTTATCAATTAATAAGATAATTGTTTCCTTATAAGATAATTGATTAATTATTTTGAGTAAATTGATAAATTGTTTTGCAAGAAATCATTAAACAAATCAAATATGGATAATTATGTATTAAATGTTATTTAGATTATTTGTTATTTGATCTTTGTTGTTATGAAAAGTTTCATATTTTGCCCTTTAGGTTTTATAGTTTAAATTTGAACCCAAAAGTTTTGTTGTTTTGAAATTTAAATAGTTGAAACCCTAATGTTTTGAAAAAGGTTTCAAAACTTGCCCTCAAGTTTTGGAATTTAAAAGTTGATTAAAAGTTTAATTAGGAATGTTAAATTCTAAAACCCTAGTAATTTTTGAAAAGTTCAAATCACACCCTTATGGTTTTATTAATTAATTAAGGTGTATAATTAAAAGAGTTTAATAAATCCATAAAAGTTTAGGTTTACAATTTAATTGAATTAAAAGTATAATTGTTAAATTTGACCACCTAGTATTTTAAAAGTGTAAAATACACCCTATACTATATATAACATTAAAAGTCTAACATTATATATGTATGAGTAAAAGTCAGTCTTACCGTTAGTAGGCCTCATTCACGAAGCTGGTCTATAAGGGGTGTTTAAGGAAATTGCCTATAAAATGGCGATTGAATGGGTATCCACTCTTACCCACCGCACTCTTGACTAGTGGAGGGTCGTTAGCCGAACGGGTAGGATAGGACGAAACCTTCCATTATAAGTATAATGAAATACAAAAGTAACTAAATGTTTTTACAAATTCCCAATCTTAGTTACTTAGGCAAAAGTGAATTGATGCAATTCCATGAAATTACACTTTGTGCCCTTGCGAAGACGTTAGTGGAGCGTGTGTGGTTTACCGGCACACTAAATGGTTCTAAGCAAAGGTAGCAAAGGGTGACTCAATGTTTGTCATAGTTCGGTGGAGCGTGTGTGGTTTACCGGCACATCGAATAGGTGACTGTAACATGTGAGGGCACCATGTAAGTTTGCATGGTTATTCACACCCGCTTTGTGATCCTCGGCATCCCAGTCACAAACAAGAGGGGCATATCGAGATTTAAACATGCCATTGAAATGTTCAATGAATCTCAAAGGATCTAGGAGTTTTCATAGATTTAAAACTTAAATTTCTTTTTCGTTTTTCATGGTGGAAATTAGTGAATCGTCATTCACTTACCTTCAAATATTCTGCAACTAGATTACACATCCCTTTTCTAGGTTGTAGCGTATTGTGTTGGGTCCTAGCCTTAGTATCTCATTTGGGTGATTTACTAAGGACTCAATCGATCAACTAACTTGAATTTGTTTTCTCCCGTTTTGTAGATGTCAAAGTTCGACAACTATGGTCTTCCCAAATCCCGTGGAACAAGCATTCCACATGAAGATGATATTCCACGATTCGATCGAGGAACAAGAAATCATGCTTCACTTCCTCCTCCTCCTCCAATTATTCTCCCTAACCCACAAGATTGTAAAATTGAAAGGTTCAATATCACTCAAGCCCTTTTGGCAAGTAAACATAAAGAAGGAAAGTCGGTGTGTGCACACGTCTTAGGGATGAAGTCACACATTGATAGGTTAAGAATGATGGGATCCGTTGTCGGTGAAGAGATGGCTGTTGATTGGGTTCTTCAGTCACTTCCTAACTCGTATAGTGAGTTCGTAAGAGAGTACTATATGATGAACCACGACGTGACCCTTATTGATCTCACCTATATGCTTATTGCTGCTGAATCAGCAATGGTTTGGCGCAATAGAAAAGCAAAGTTGATTGGTGAATCTACCTTCAAGACCTCTATGGATATAGACAATGGCAATGATCGAAAAGTTTGATCATAAGAGAAAGGCGATGTCTGAAGTAGTTCCATGTGTTGTTCCAAAAGAGTCAATTTGCTTTTATTGCCAAGAGAAGGGGCATTGGAGACGAAGTTGCCCTATTTACCTAAGAGATCTAAGAGATGGGAGAGTCAAAAGTATGACTACGCTTCAGGTAAAATCCACTATCTAACTCCGTTAAGTTCCTATTCATTGATTCTTAATACATGATGTGATAAGATTGCATTTGAATGTTTT